GGTGGTCTAAAGATATTAAAGCAACTAAAGAAACTATGACCTGAAAACACAGTGGAGGTGAAGGAAAAAATACAACCGAAGGTTTCAACAAAAATCTTTATCAACAGACAAAACAACTGATAGGGCGAGCATAGGAAACACTTCTTGCATGGCCCGGTTTTTTTTCTTTTCCTTCCACTGAGCTTTCTAGCCTTCGTTTTGCGTTTAGAAATATCTCAACTCCTATTTACTCTAGAGAGCAGGGATATTCATCTAAATATACCCACGGGTCAACATTTTGAAAATGGGAATCATCGTGGGCCAAAGGCCTGAACCCCAGCGTAGAAAGACCATTAGTACACTACAAATGGCAATGATCCAGGGAGCAATTGCTAGGCCTGCGGGGGCCACTTGGGACCCGTGGGCCGCCAGTTGAAATAGCTCTGCTCTAGCAAAGACAGCAGTTAAAAACATAAATAACATGAAGAAAGCCAAGATGAGTTCTGAATGCAGGTGTATTCAGAAGACAATGCTATTGGTTGGCAAGGCTGCAGTACATTCTTAACATATTAAAAAAAAACAACAACACAGAAACAGGAGCAATCTTCAAGTTATTTAAGGGTACAATTAACTAAACTTAGATAAACATACAGGAAATAATGAAAAATTCATGCAAACAGTTTTATTTATCACATTAAAGACAAGTGAAAATTACATGTGCAGTTTTTCTTTTTTTTTTTTTCTAAATATTCAAACCGCTTTAAGGGTAGGTGTGCCTCGAAATGTTCTTTGCCCGACAAGGTTGCCGCGGCTAAAAAAGTTTGAGCTCTAGAGGAATGAATAATGATGCTTGCATCAAATTTGAGTTACAAACTGAAATCACAGCGTTCCGTTCCCATCTTGAACAGCCAACAAAGAGTTACAATGCTAATGGGGCCAGCAGCAGGCTGGTCGTACGTCCATCTTGCCTGTTCTCTGAGTCGACCAGATACACCTGTCACTTCTACTGAACCATTCTCTCCATACCTTATTTGTACTTCAGCATTTTTCACTTTGCTCCCAAAGGGCATCAGCCTTGTCTAGCTTGTCATGTTCAATTCATCATGCAGGGGGCTGCGTGGTCTCAAGGCATGGTGTCCGCCTCTAGTGCTAGAGGTTCCAGGTTCAATCCCCGGTTAGGGCTAGGACTTTTTTCACATGGACTTGGACTTCTAGTGATTCCCCCTGGTCTCTGGGTAGTGAGATTGGACGCCCGTGTGCATTGCTTTGCACGTAAAAAATCCCCCGGCAGTTAGAAATTGAAAAGAGTAGCATTACTGTGCTGCTTTGGCAAAATTTGAAGTTAAAAATCTACCCAAAGTATTTCAGAGTCCTCGCCGGTGCTATAAAGCCTGTGCACTGTGCTAAGCTTCTTTAGGCTCAGATTTGAGTTAGAAGAAGAATGGAGCACTTAATTGTGCCATAATGTTGATCTGCTGTTCAAAATTCTAACTTCAAATTCATCATTCAGCGGTGCTGAAGTAACTTAGTTTCAAATTTGGTCACCAAGCCAATGTATTCTTGGCTATATTTTCAGAGGAGTTGAAAAAAGACAAAAATAAAGTCCTTTGGGCACGCTTTTTTTACTGTTAACTATCAGCAGTTCAAAATGATAAAAAGGCAGGTCTTTAACACACTCTTCTGAAGAAAAAAGTAAAAACTGAAAAAACTTTGAAGAAACAGAAAATCATTAATATATGTGAATTTCGGTATAATGACAATGAGAAACTTGCCGTTTCTACAGAGTTTATGCACTCAGCTAAAAACCTCAGTGAGATCTGATGGAAAATATGAAAGCATAGATAATTATTTCATTGAACAATGAAGGTCTGAAAAAAATTTAACGATCATCATATCAACCTTTAGATAGAGTTTGCTAAAACATAACAGTACGAATTATTTATATAAGTAACGGTAGCAGTTTCAATCAGGTTTACTGATAGTACTGATTAAAAAATAAATCAAGAATACATTTTCAAATAAAAGTAAAATATCTGATTGTTGTTCACCTCCAGATTGCGATATCTGCACCTTTTGACCCAACACATCTTATATCTGCACCTTTTGACCCAACACATCTTATATCTGCAACTTTTGACACAACACATCTTATATGTGCACCTTTTGACCCAACACATCTTATATCTGCACCTTTTGACCCAACACATCTTATATCTGCACCTTTTGACCCAACACATCTTATATCTGCACCTTTTGACCCAACACATCTTATATCAGCACCTTTTGACACAACACATCTTATATCTGCACCTTTTGACCCAACACATCTTATATCTGCACCTTTTGACCAAACACATCTTATATCTGCACCTTTTGACCCAACACATCTTATATCTGCACCTTTTGACCCAACACATCTTATATCTGCACCTTTTGACCCAACACATCTTATATCAGCAAAACCTTAATAAAATGTTATGAAAGGCATGAGGAGCAATGGGTCAATTCTTTTTTTTTCTCCCCAAACTAGGCTCTGAACCACTGAACCAAATAGAGAGTCTAGGTTCAATCCCGTGAAGTAGTAGTCCCTGCATGGGTTCCGGGGCTCTATTATAGAAAAAAACAAGAATAGACCAACTGCCTACCCAGAAGCCTGTCGTAAGAGTCGACTAATTGGGAGTCGGAGTGCATCTGCTTGAGAGGCAAAGATCCAACAGTCTGCACACAAATGAGACAGATCTGTCAAACGAATGCACATGCAACTTTCAGGTTCTGAAACAGGACTGCAGCCCAGAAGTGGACGGTCAACAAGAACTTTCCGCCGGAGTTTACAGCCAGTGAATGCAAAGAAGAAAAAGTAGGATTTTTTTTAATAAGACGGTCCAGGGGGGGGGGGGGGGGGGGGGGTGGGTGTGGGGGGGGGGGGGGGGGGGGGTGGGGGGGGGGGGGGGGGGGGGGGGGGGGGGGGGGCAATCATCATAGCCTTATTAACATGAAACATCATCACCATTCATCAGGTCCTTTACAAAACGTCATCCTCTACATAACAGACCTAACATTTTCTTTTTTTTACCAGCTCCAGCCCTATGTGCTTTCATAACCAACACGTCTTCAATATCTTGTATCCATTTTCGTGGAGGTTAGCCTTTGCCTTGTCTTCTGGAAACTGCACCCTCCATCACCGTTCTCTCCAGGCCACCATGAGGTGTAACAAGATCAAAATACCTCATCATTACATGGATGCTTTCAGGATAATTTCCAAAATATTCTGGGAAGGAAAGGCAAAAAAGGAAGTGTACAGTTCACTCCACCTCAAATTTCATGTCCTAGAAGGTATGAAGATATTTCACACCCCAACAAAAAGTATTTGCTACAGACAAACCTTTTATCCTTCTTTAAGTAAAATACAATGCAGCCAGGCAGTTACTGTGAAACAGTAAATTCAAAGACCTTCAGCAGTGACTAGTATTATCTACAAAAAGGAAACAGTCATTGAGCTTTGAAACAGCCTCTTACCCTTCACCTAATAATACAGTGTAAACTATGGCAACATTTATATCATAAATTTCAACAATACGGGTAGTGGTTAACTGATTTAACATTACTGTGATAAGTATGTTTTAAACAAACTACTGACTGGATAAATGTATGGTCAAAACAAAAACAACCTATGTATTGTGAATAACTTATTATTGCAGCCTTAAGTATTGTAAGCTTTGATATCAACATCTATTACCCTTTGCCCAGTTGTGCAAACTGAGCAATAGGCAACATTTTAGTAATGTTGATACAGGCAAAATCTTCTTCTTCTTCTTTTCGCTCACTAGCCGTTATTGCTGGCAGAAAGTTCTTGTTGCTTGTCCACCTCCGGACCTTTTGTCTTGTTCCAGAACCTGAGAGCAGCATGCACATCTGTTCTACAGATCTGACTTATTTGTATGCAGATTGTTGGTTCCTTACCTCTCAGGCACTCCGACTTTGAAGGAAACCCCTAATTAGTAGACTCTTATGACATGCTTGTTGGGGATGCAGTGGATCTATTCTTGTTTTCCCCACAATGGGGTCCCGGAACCTAAAAGGGTATTGGCAAAATTATTTAATATTCCTCTTATAAGTATGTTCTTACCAACCACGGCCAGCTCAAGCAATAAGGCGGAACAGGTCTATGGAAATTCCTGTTATCGAGTAAATTTATACACAAATTAAACTACAGTTTAATTAACTTGCAACATATTTTATTGAATGAGTTTTCATTATGAAGATAAATAAGTGAGCCATTAGAAAATAGAATAATAATAATAAAATATTTAATAAAATATGTTGCAAGTTAATAAAACTAGTTAAATTTGTGATTTTATATATATATATATATATATATATATATATATATATATATATACACACACACACATATGTATACACATAAATATGTGTGTGTGCGTGTATATAAAAATCAAAATAAAAAAGACAAGGACTGTGCATTTTAAATAACTTAATTCTTTCAGACACAAACAATGAAGAATTTGCCAATGGCCGATACCTTTTAATCCCAACCACTTAGAAAATATAGTCACAGAATGCAAAAGAAATCTGGCTTCCCCAGTGGTCACTTCAAATTTCTATATAACCACTCTCCTCTTCTGGGCATAAGTTGTAAAATGTTCTGGGACTGAAAGAGTTTTAATCAGCAAATTAGGTGTTAATTTTATGACATAAATAGGGCTGTGATTTGTTGACAAAGACTTTGGTTGAAATTATTTGTTTGTGCATACCCCCCCCCCCCCCCCCCCCCCCCCACAACTGAGCTTTCCATTCATAATTTATTTTATGTAAGGTTTACATCAACACTGAATGTCTCAGATCAGCAAATGAAAATGTAATGTTTACACATATATCTATACATGTTTGATACATCAATACAACTTCATGTCGATAACATAAAAGGCATCAGTCATAACATGGGATCACTAAAACATGGATTTACAAACAGGAGTATCCAGATAACATGTCTTATCCATCCATCAGAGTGGATTCACGACTTCTACATAGTTGATGGGGAAGAAGCCTGCTTGCCCACGTACAGAACCTTCAAACCAGTTTTCATCGACCTGGAGGAAAGTCAGAAGAAACTGAAAATTACACAGGGTCAAGTTGATACAGTAGAGGTTCAAAGGCTTTTTAAAGGTGAAAAGATCAATTTCATTACACTGAATTTTATCCTTAAAGGCTCAGTCTGTACACGGTGGCTCACATGAAGCACAAACCCCTTAGCTCTAGCGCCAACCACTAGAGATCTCTGAAATGCCTGCTTAAGGACTGACTCTGAAACCTTGCAGAACATGAGGCAGCTGCTTAACTAAATGAATACATACTGTAGCGCAGTGGATATTTTGGTGCTTTAATAATATTCTTCCCCAAACAGGGGACATCCACAGGTCACGGAACACTCTAATATTTCTGAGGGTGGTAGATAGGCTGCATGCTGTCGTGGGACCTAGGCTGCATGCAGTCGTGATATTTAGGCTGCACTATCTCGTGGGAGGCCAGTTCTAGCTGTTTTGGGGTAGTTAGAAGCAGGAGAAAGCTGGGAAACCCAGTCTTACCACCCTCTGAAATGTTGGGCTGTCCTGTGTCGTCATCTGGGGTAGGATATTAATAAGGCACCAATATAATAAGGCACCAATAGGTCGATCCAGCCTATAATTCATTCATTCATTCATTGTCATGCTGTGTCATTATATGTCATATGAGGCTTGCAGTATATACCTCCATTCCGTTCCATTGCGTACAATCAATTCAATATCAAGGATTACATTACATCCAGTCCAGCACATTTGGCCTCTTTCATCAACATTAACTGTATGGGTATTTTTTGGGTGTCCTTGCCTCCTTAATCCAGTTATTTCCCATTTTAGTGTCTGTTAGGTGATTCTCTGTTCCTTCTCTGGAGGTGTCTAATATAGTGCCACCTTCTCTGTCAAGAATTGACATCACAGCACTTGGGGCATTCCCATGCATACTCCGTTCTCACCTTTAGCAGCCAGCGCAGAGTTCTAATCCTTGTTTTCTCCTCTTCACTCTCTTTTTGCTGCTTGCTGAAGATGACGTCAAGCACAGAGCATGTGCTCCGTAGCTCCAGCAACAATTAACTGTGGGTATTAGTTGCCCAGACATTTCTCTTATTTCTTCACCCGTCCAAAATTTGTCCCATTTAACACTCATCATTTTCCTCAGGTATTTGTTTTTGAATGCACTGAATTTTCTTTCCATGTTTTTAGTGGTACCCCAATTTTCACTTTAGCATATATTAAAACTGAAAAAACATTAGAACTGAAAATATGTAAGTTGATTTTAAAACTATACAATTTAGAGTTCCATTTTTCGTTCAGCATTTTAAAAGCTGCTAATGCAGAGTCAATGGATTGCAACCAGTGTTTGGCTTGAGTGTGTTTGTCAAGTGTTTTCCTGTCATTAGCCAATGGAGTCGAACCCTAGACAATTAGGTTCCTGACACCTGATTTCTTTCTTTGCATCTCCATCACTAACAAATTTACTACCCAAATAAGTCATCATCATCATCATCATCATAAACCACTTCTGCCACTAAGCGTCGTGGGAAGGAATAATTTGCGATCCAGTGCACGTGGCTGCCACTGACTACTGTCATGCCGTGAAGGCATAGAGTGTCTTTAATGTTGTCGATCCATGTTTTCCATGGCCGTCCTCTTGCTCTTGTAGCTGATCTTCTGAGATGTAGTGCTTGTGATGGTATTTGATCTTGCTGCATTCTAATAAGATGGCCAAATAAGTAAATATTATTAATTCCTTTTCTCTCTACCATTATATCTGCTTGATCTGTTATTGTTTTCATCAACATATGTATCATTTCACAACTTATTAGTAGTCCAGTCTTTATTTCTATATTTGCAATATCACCCATTTTTCTGTGCACATCATTGTTGTATTTACCTAGCCAAAAATATCACCATCAAAATCACAATCCTCTAACTGTGTGTTCTCCACCCAGTCAATGCCAGTCTTTCCAACACAGCAGGGGAGATCAAATGCATTCATGTTTCACTCCAGTTTCAACTTCCAATCAATCACTTCAATCATCAAATGTTTAACCTCCCGTGTGGGTTCCGGGGCCCCATTGTGGGGAAAACAAGAATAGACCCACTGCCTCCCCAAAAGCATGTCGTAAGAGTCGACTAATTGGGGAGCTTCCTTTGAAGTCGGAGTGCATCTGCCGGAGAGGCAAGGAACCAACAGTCTGTATTCAAGAGAATGAGATCTGTAAAACTGATGCACACGCAACACTCAGCTTTTGGAGCAGGACTGCAGTTCAGTAGTGGACGAGCAACCAGAACCTTCCGCCAGAGTTTACAGCTGGTGAACGCGAAGAAGAAGAAGAAGAAATGTTTAACAATGCACACTCTGAACCTTCACACTGTCTTAATAATATTTATTATCTTTATTGGTATACTGGGAGTCATCGTGGTGTAGCGGCTAGACGCACAGAGCCGGACTTTTTTTTCAAAAACGACCTCGGCTCCCAGGTCGACCCAGCCTTAAGAAGGTACCAGGTGCAGTCCTGGGAAGTAAAGGTGGCTGGTGTGACGTTGACCACATCGCCCATCAAGTGCTGACTGGTCTATAAAATACAGGTCTGGCCCTATATGCCCCAAAGGCCTAATGGCATGGAAAAGGGTCCTTAATAAGTATACTTATTGGTATACTACAGCATTCTGAAATTCCCCATAGTGGGTACTGGGTACAAGATAATGCCCCGTGAAGTAAAAATTACATATACCTAGTACAATATGTCTCATTTGCCAAAGGTTTGAAAAGGGCACAAAGGAGGGAGAGTCATGATCACCTATATCTGCTCCAGATCAGGCATCTAAAGTCAACAGTTCAATCATAAAACTGACCTGACTAATTAAGTCTATGTAATCTCCTTCTTGGAAGCTCAGTTCACCTTCATTTTCAGGAACGAAATCGTATAAAGCCCTTGCCATTGGCTTCTTCTTGCCGTCAGGAACTGGAACAGAAACAATTACATGAATATAAATGAAAAAACAGTTAAGAAGAAATTATGATATTAGGAGCGTTCATTTAAAAGCTGTTTTGTGCCACACCGGGCGTAACTGAATACAATAATTTCTTAGTCATGTGATAAGTAATGACCAATGAATAAAAGAGCATGTGCTTTTGGTTTCATGATACATAGGTTATGTTTCTGACCAGTGAGAAAAAAGCCGGGTTGATCTTAAATCTGTCCAAAGAAGCTTAAACAGCAGTGATTCAGTTTCTTTTATTTGAGGGATGTCGACCAGTGGACATCATAGAGGAATGCGGACAGCGTACGGTATGTCCAAGTGACAGAATGGGCAAGAAGTTTAAGAAAGGATATGACTGACTGACTGACTTTCTACCCCACTAGGACATCACACAAGCGATAAACACCCGATGACACAAAGTGCCACCATGCGGATGAGGATCGCCGTGGAGAGGTCCCAGAAACCGCGTTCAGACATTTGGCCATATGTATGGTCTGCCTATATTGCGGCCCCTGGCAAAAGCCAGAGTAGGGCTCCAAATGACAAAAAATTTCGTCCTAAAAAGGATGAAACTGGATATAATATATGAGATTATGACAGATCTTTCAAAGCTTACTAAGTGCTTACTGTTGAAACAACAAAAAAACAGTCCTTAAAATTGATGCGCCAGTACAGATGAACTGATGTTAAAACAAACGTTTGCGTGTGAACGAATTTAATTTGTCAATTCGGGCAGTTCAAAATGTTGTTTGTAACAAACTGCAATATCGGAAGGTGTGTTCACAGTGGGTACCACGGATGTTGACCACCAAAAGGAGGATCACTTGGTTCAATGAGAAACCACAAACCTTTTTTTTTGGTAACAGACAGCATTAGCTGCCTACCTAAGCTTTGTGGATGCCTGCCTGAATGCCTAGGGCGGCTTTTTTTGGCCAACCCATGGTAAATAATTCTTTCAAAAATGCTTTGTTGAATTCTGCCACATCTGTAGATGGTTCTTTCAAACTTTTGTAACAAAGCCATTGGAATGGGTTTAAAAAGAACACATACATATTTGAAACAAAAAAAAACTTTAGTTAGATACTGTCATGGATTTGGCAACCTATGGATGTAACAAATGCTAGGATATAATAATCTCTGGCCTTCAAGATTTTTTTTTGGGGGGGGGGGGGGAGGGGGAGGGGGTGTGGGGGGGGGGGGGGGGGGGGGGGGGGGGGGGCAGCAGAAAACTGACTTTGGCTCCCAGGTCCTCAAATCTTAAATGGGTACCATGCAATGTCCTAGGAAGTAAAAGTGGTAAGCGTGATGCTGACCAAAACACCAACTGATTTAAAATGAGATTAGCATCTCCCTGTGTGGGTTATGGGATCATGTTGGGGAAGGGGGGGGGGGGGGAGGAGGATAAAGAAGAAACCCACTGCTTCCTAACGAGTATATTGTAAAAGTCAATTAATTTGGGGTGTTTAGTTCAGAGCGCATCTGCCTGAGAGGTAAGGAACCAACAATCTGCATATAAATAAGCCAGATCAGTAAAACACATGCACTGAAAACTCAAATTCTAGTACAGGACTTGTCCAGAAGTGGATGAACAAATAGAACTTTCTGCTAAACTACAGCCAGTGGACGCGAAGAAGAAGACACGCATCATATGCTCCGTGTGCCAGTGTCACGAAAGGGCTCTTATTTTACTGATTTTTATTTCATTTTTAAATAATAACCACCCATAGGTTTTCTTGGCCCATAAGTAAAGCAAAGATTAGTAAGACATGACTACAAAGGGTTAATGTGAGACTGGTTACTGTAGAAAACTGCAGCTGTAAAATCTAACCAATCATGCACAAATATTTGAATAACATAGCATGAGGACATATGATCCATTTAGAGCTAAAAAAACAAAGAAGAGGCTGAGGAAGAGAATCCTGTTGAGGAGCAGATGATGGATGAAAAGTTGAAGAAGAAAAAAGATGATGATGAAGAAGAAGAAGAAGAACAAAGAAAACAGAAAGGAGGCTATAACACACATTAGTAATGAGTTTTTTGCTTTGTTTCATTTTCATTCCTAGTTCAGAGTAAACTATATAAAATATTTCCTTAAGTAATATAATTCAACTTGTCGAACTGCTCGTTCTATATCAAGATATATTATTCTCAACTCAAAAGGGGCAGTCAAGGCAGCGCAGTGGTTAGATGTATGCATGCTGACCAGAAGGTCTTGGGTTTAAATTCACGCCAGGTGGGTTTTTATAACGTTGGCTGCCTGGCTTACTTAGCCTTTTTTTTTTAAAATGGTACCAGAAATGTTCTGGGAAGTAAAGGCTTTGTGCCCTTCAGAAAGCATTCATAAACTAACTATAGAAAGTAAAATCACAAACAGCTAACAAACATTGTGGATGGACTGCCATGTCCTGAAGAGAACATACAACCAAAATATCGTTAAAAGTTTGACCATTTTTTAAAGCCCCGTAGGGAATGTGAAATGAATGCTCGGTTGGTGGTTTGCATGTCAGACACTGAGTTAACAAGGCAAGTTTTACAACATCTAAAGAAAATAATATTTTTTTGTGTTTAACCTTCAACAGGTGGTTGGCATGTTGTGTTGTGGTTTACAGCAGCGATTTCTATATTTGTGTATTTAAGTCGGACAAAAGCAATTTCAGCGAAACCCTTAAACAGTCACATTTAACAAATTGTGTGTTGAAGGGCACTGCCTACGTTGCCCCCCACCCCGCTTTTTTTTTCAACAGGAAGAATATAATACATAAAGTAGTAACAGGTACCACAGGCATGGTATTCTTCAAAAGAAGGAAATAAACAGTTGAATAGCATTGCTAAACTACAAAGGAAAAACATCAAATGTACAAGGGGTTTTCAAATGAAAACCTTAGAAGTGTGACAGCATAATAATAACGATGCTATTATCTTATAACCTGTCAATATTGTTGTTAAGGATGTCAAGAGTGTTAGGCACATAGCATCATGGTGCAAAAAACATGGTGATGTTATAACAGCAGTTTGAAGATGGCTGCTGCCTTTGACATGCATCAAAGAGTAGCAGCGACATTGTCATTATGACGTCATACTGTTCGTCCACACCGTGATGTCACATGCTTAACATTCTTAACATTTGTAACAACAATACTGGGAGGTTACAAGACAATGAAATAGTTTGTATCATTTGTATCATACTTTGAAGGTTTTCATTTGTAGCTCTGTCGTACACTATAAGATCATAACTACTATAACAAAGTGATCAGAAGTAAAGTGAGTTTTATCCCATCCGGTTTGGTCTCTCTCCAAACAGCAATGCACATAGCATGAACTCAGCAGTTCCAGCGAACACCTCAGGAGAATATCCTTAAAACAACAGTAGTCATGAACTCAGCAATGTGGTCCAAAAATTAACCTACAGCCTTTATTACAGTATGAGGCAATGTGTCGGTTCCCACTGAGTGAGGGGGGGGGGGGGGGGGGGGGGGGGGGGGAGATAGTTTAACTGCCCTCATAACAAGCATCTTATAAAGGGCGACTAATGATGATGTTTACCTCAGAGTTGGAGTGCATCGATGTAAGAAGTGTATGACAAATAAATTTAGTGTAAGTATGCACAAACTGTATCACATCTATCTCCTGTGTGGGTCCTCGGGCCCCAGTTTGAGGGAAAAAATAATAGACCCATTGATCCAGTGGCTAATTAAGAGTTTGCTGAAATCAAATGTGATGGGCTGAAAAGTGCAGATATTGCTGCCTAGCTGTAAACCACAACACAATGTCCCACCTGCCCTAAGGCTGAACACATACAAAATAATAAGAAGTAACACATCTCAAGAATACATTATAGGAAAAGCAACAGCAATGACGATGGAAATACTTAAATTTTTTAAAGAAAAAATTTACAATTAAGCAGCATGCCTAAACTAGAAAAGAAGATGACAACAAATAACTATAAAATGTCACTGAAGCTGGGAGGATAAATTTCATTGCAATGTGTTAGATCTCATCTGGCTTGATCTCTCTCAATCTATACAGTTTGTTAATAACAGCATAAACTTTGTATCATTAGCGGCATCCCTCATAGATCTCCAAAATAACTGCACTCATGAACCGAATGAGTTCTTTCATCTTCAGTCTAAACTCTACCAGAACAATGCCCTGCTAGTAAGGTAGCTTCCTGATCTGCTGCTAAACCGGTGTCCCTCATTGTCGGTACTTTGCAAACTACGTGAAAAAAATGCATCACAAACTAAACATAACTAGGCAATCGTGGTCAGACCTCGGGGTTAGTCGCTGCGAATGTGTGTTTGGATTTACTTTGTGTGGTTTGACGTGAAAAAATGCTGAAAATTCACAATGAAATGAGCAGCTAATTAATGAACCAGGCACTTTGACAGGAAAGGGAAGCAGGTCTAGGCTTTTCAAAGTCCTACAGGTGACCGAAACTTTGGTTGATTTAGACTCTGAAGCGTCAAAATTTCATGAAGAATATATTCCTAGTTGAAGTGACACAGTCAGTGTGAGCACGAGTGATGAGGAGAATCTTGAAAATTATAGATTTAAAACCTGATCGATAGTAAGAGAAGTAGGCGTGTCCCTCAAACAGCAACATCTCGTGCTCACTTTGTGAAACAAGGCCCATCTTGCTGAGTGTAATGGCACACACAGGTGGAATATTGGCGCTAAATGAAAGGTAAACCTATTTTCTAAAATGTCTCCAAGTTTCATCTTATTCTAACGACTTGTTTGCATGTAACAAATTATTTTTGTATATCATATTGTATATCAGGTATATGGTGCAGTTAGGTTCAGGGCCTCAGGTCTGGTAGGGTTAAAAGAAAGTTGGCATGTTGTGTTGTGGTTTACAGCGGGTCTCATTACCTGCACTTTTAATTTCAGCCCAATACATAAGTTTTCAGCAAATAAGTCCCCTTTTACAACTTGCTTGTAAGGGGCTAGCGGGTGTATTCTAACAATTGGGCCAGTAACCTACATGGAAAACAATTTCCATAAGTAACCTCCAATCATTGATATGATGAGGCAAATAACCTTTTCACCATGGAGATCCCCATAACAACAATATGTTGCATTAAGAATCAACACCATAGCACTCGGAACACTCCCATAAGTGCTCCACCCCTATTTTCAGCATCAAGCGAAAAGTTCCAAAGCACATGGCACCAGTGTTGAATTGTATATCTGTTTTGCCGTTTCCCTGAGTGTTAAGCATCAGCCAGATCCCCTGGTAACTCCTTGTACTAAATAATAATAACAACAACAAATAATTCACAATATAAAAAGCATTATGGAATGTCAAACATACTGTAAGAACAGAAAGAAGTGGAAGTATCTGGCAGTGTTGACAACACATTTGAAAATATATAAAACTGGGATGACTATATTGCACGCTGTGCTGTGATCTTACCAGCGTAAGATCCAAATGGATCTGTTTCATCATATGGATTAAAGGCTACAAGAAAAATGTGTGAGTGAGCAATCAGAAATCTTTAAAACTAACGTTTTCAGTGTTCACATTTGAGAAAATCAAGACATTCTTTTGCTTTCTATCAACCACCCAGATGATTCTCTTGTGTTGGCTTTTACACTTAACCCTTACTTACTGTAAACGGCCAGGTACACAAGGGTTGCACTTGGTGTAGTCATTATGGGTGTTCTAATTTTAACTTCTTAGGAAGTTGAATGTGGTTTTGGGATTCGTCCTGCAACTATTTGAACTGCAGGGGTGGTCACACCTTCAGAAAGTAACCTTGGGGTGGGCAGCAGGGAATACCAGAGTAGTCTGGCCTAGTCATGACACTGACTTGGTCAGGGTGTTGGTCTGGTCATGATGTTGACCTGGTCATGGTGTTTTCATTTGGCCATGGTGTTTCATGTGGTCATGGTGTTTTCATCTGGTCATGGTGTCTGACCTGGTCATAGTGTTTTCATCTGGTCATGATGTTAGCCTGATCATGGTGTTTGACCTGGTCATGGTGTATGACCTGGTCATGGTGTTTTCATCTGGTCATGATGTTAGCATGATTATGGTGTTTGACCTGGTCATGGTGTCTGACCTGATCATGGTGTCTGACCTGGTCATGGTGTTTTCATCTGGTCATGATGTTAGCATGATTATGGTGTTTTCATCTGGTCATGATGTTAGCCTGATCATGGTGTTTGACCTGGTCATGGTTTTTCATCTGGTCATGATGCTCACCTGGTGATAGTGTTTGATCTGATCATGGAGTTTTGTCTGGTCATGGTGTTTTCATCTATCTGGTCACAATGTTAGCCTGGTCATGGTGTTTCCATTTATCTGGTCACAATGTTAGCCTGGTCATGGTGTTTTCATCTAACTGGTCACAATGTTAGCCTGGTCATGGTGTTTTCATCTATCTGGTCACGTTGTTAGCCTGGGCATGATGTTAGCCTGGTCATGGTGTTTTCATCTATCTGGTCATAATGTTAACCTGGTCATGGTGTTTTCATCTATCTGGTCACAATGTTAGCCTGGTCATGGTGTTTTCATCTATCTGGTCACGATGTTAGCCTGGTCATGATGTTAGCCTGGTCATGGTGTTTGACCTGGTCTTATCCTGAGCTTGATGATGATTTGGACCTGATAATAGTGTTTGGCTTGGTCACAGTATTGGCCTGACATTCACAGCTGTCAACTCTTCTAAGCAGGTATGCTAGTACCTAATGGTTAGTGGGTAACTATGCAGCTAAGGGCATACTGTACTCATCTAATAAATAAGTATTAAAGACTGCTGCTGACCCAGATAGGACATGACAATTTTCCATCTCTGTTGTCCTTAGTACATTGATGTAAAATTTTATGCATGAGGTCTGCAAGAATTGTTGCAAGGCTTGGGCATTACATTTCTACCATCATTTTTGGGATCTGCTATGACTCTGAGTGTTTTACAAAATTGATACACTGGGAAGACATATAGTTTTGAGGAAAAGGTTAAAGAAATCGCTTCTTTTTTCTGTTGAAGAACTGTTGAAGTGAAATAGTATATAAAAACGATTTCATTTCTTTGAACAGTAAAATAATCCTCTGCTGGCTTGCTAGGCCAGTCGTGGTGGAGGATAGACCAAGGTCAATTAGGATCTGTTAGCTTATCACCCTATGGATATATTTTTTCAGTCTACAACACTTATGTAAGAAACTTTAATGGAGAAGAAACATTTGCAAAAAACATAGGAAAAACCTTAAGACCCAAAGGAGTTACGTACATAGCTAATGAGGATGAGAATATTAGTCTCTAAACTGTGTGTATACTGAAAAAAGAATGCTACAACAGAGGTTTTGTCTTTACACCTGTGTTTACTACTTTTCAGGGCAGAGTATGACATGGGGGGAAGGGTTCGTTAGCATGAGAATTTATTTGCTGCATGATTACGGCCCCATGATTAACTCTTTGAGGTTCAAGCAGCGCTGTGTGTGTTAATTGAGAAGTTCTGATTTGCCCAAACAATACTGTCTGCGTTGAATGTGTGTCTTGTACATACTGATTCGCATATGGCTCTGTTATCATTTCTAATGTTTGGAACTAACACTAGAGTATTCAGGGAAGGTTACTCCAACCTTTTTCTTTGTAAACAAACCTTTGTCTTTGTTCGCACATATTTGGGTGCAAACTGACAAGATTCACTGCTAGCAGGATTTGCCGACATTGCAGTTTCTTATTTGGTGTTCAAGTGGCTATGGTTACCAACTTTTGAAAATTTTTACAAAGAGAAATTAATGTGAACTAAGTCTGTCAAAATTCATGGGTTTGAAAGACTTAATGCAGTGGCCACAAATGGTACAAGATTTTACAAATATTTAACCCCCACCCCTCCAGGTTTCTTTCACTTATTGAGGATATGAACCCAGGTGTCCCATATGAGAGCCAAGATTTTTAACCCCTTTGGGGAACTGTTCATAATCAATATGTAGCAGGTCCTTTGCAGAATGTCGCTCTCATCACGGTCTGACTAAAAAAAACTTGGTCTCTCGCCAGCTCTCCCGCCTCATGTACTTTCAAACTCAATAAGTCACTTATATCCTGTGCCCATCTTCGTGTTGGTCGGCCCCTGCCCATCCTCCCTGGTACCATGCCTTTTGCTATAATTTTCCAATCCGTCGTGGCGCTTGACATGACCAAAATATTTCAGCTTCCAAAACAGGATGATGGTTATTAGCCAATCTTCCTTGATGTTCAGATCTTACAAGATGTCGGCATTTCTCCTCTTCTTTGTCCAAGATATTGGTGAACTGTGACAAGCTGGTATTATCATAAAAGAAAAATTCAAGTTCTAACTTCCGCCAGGATTAACTTCTCACCTGACTGATGGTATGCAGGTGTTTGAATGCTATTAAAGGTGTGGCTGCCAGACTTGGTCTCAGTGTCCTCGTCAGAATCTGGAGACTCACTGCGACGGAATGAACTCACCCGCTTCGGTATGTGCTCAGATCTGGGGCGGCCTGCACATTCATTGCGTCTGTGATTAAAAAAATGGAAACAAGCATTCTGGTCAGATTTATGTTAAATACAGACTGTTTGAAAAGTATCTATACAGATATGGATACTGTAATACATCTAATCTTAATTATTTCTGTTTAAATGGTTGGGGAATATTGAGAGAATGTCAAATGAGAGAGAGGTAAAAAAACAAACTGTATACACAAGAGAGATTAATGGTTGTAGACCACGAGGAAGACCAAGAAGACGATGGAGAGATAATGTCCAGCCTGCAAACACTTGGTGTCACCAAATGGAAAGAGAAGGTCAATCAGAGAGATGAATGGAGGCAGGTGATATCTGAAGCAATAAACCTCAAGGGCTCGGAATGCCTCACAGCAGCAGGGCAGAAAGAGATCTTCTGTTTTCTTCACATATAGTAATTTTCAGTGTCTCCGACATTTCCAGTCCATCTTCTGCGTGGTCGACCTCTGGCTCTGTTTCTGTTCTATCTGTATAATATAGCTATCTGTGGTGCCCTCTCTACTGCTAACCTTGTTACATGGCCAAACCATTTGATTTGCTGTCTACCTATAAAGTTCAGTATTGATTCTGTGCCGCCTCTCCTGCTGATTTCATCGTTCCCAAGTCATCTTATCTTTTTTACATCGAGCTTGATGAGTGAACATATCATTTTTGTCTTCTACATTTTGCTCAACTACAGTTATTTCTGTTTAAGTATACTTCTACACTTATCTCTGTTTGTCTACTTCTACACTTACTTCTGTTTAAGTCTACTTCTACACTTACTTCTGTTTAAGTCTACTTCTACACTTACTTCTGTTTAAGTCTACTTCTACACTTACTTCTGTTTAAGTCTACTTCTGCTAAAGCACACTTACTTCTGCTCAACTATCTCTAGCAATGACTGGAGTGTATTCAGTGCCTGTCTGTGGTAGTCAACTTCTGCCTCAATGAAAGCCTGCAACTGACTGATGTACTCCACCTGTTTTAAAATAATCAGTTAAAAGAAAGCATTATTAATTAGTCTGCATCTGGCTTAGGAGCTGCAAATCTGCTTCACAATGCTAAGGTGCTGGGTTTCATCCCAGTTGTGGACGATTTGGCAGCAGACCACCTAGTGTTTGTTTCAACAGTGGTATTGACAGCCGATGGTTCAGAAAGCACTGGCAAACTACTAAACATAAAATGGTCTAGTAAAACCATAAAACCTGGTGTGATGTTGACCACATCACCCACCAATTGCTGATTGGTCTATAAAATATAGGTCTAGCCTTTACTTACTTTACTAAAAACCTCAAAAAATGCTGCAGTTGGTTTCGCAATATCCTTTAAATGACATGCAACTTACTTTATTCAACTTAATAAAAATGCAGGCGCACACGGCAAAATGGGATGCCACGATAAGAAAACCTTCATCAATAAACAAACATGAAGGTACAGATAATAGAGATGCATTTCAGTACAGATGGTTTTCAACATCCTGCACAGGAAGACACAGGCAGTTAATTCTGGATTGATTCACTCAAATTCATTTCAGTACAGTATATTTTATTGCTCAAAGTATGCAAAGAAGATGACGGCTCACATTCTGGACCCCAAATATAAAAAGTCAATTTAGAATGGATCAATTTCTCAGCAAAAATATCAGAAGTCATTTTAGAGCAGACGAGTACAGAAGAATGGGATAAAAGCAGCTAAGAAATGTATAATGTAGGTAGAGTTATCAATAAATAAATGCGTACTTAATTGGCTGACAGTAAAAGATTTTAACAAAATGAAACAATGTGCTCTAGTTTTAGCACTTTTGCTAAACTACTGTCCCTGTATGGGTTCTAGGGACACATTTTAGGGGGAAAAGGGGGGGGGGGTAGATACACTGCCTCCCTAATAAGTATGTCATAAAAGGCTACTAATTTGCTAAACCTGGACGTGTTAGTAAAAATAGTTCAGATGTTGCAGCCTAGCTTTAAACTGCAAAATAAGTGCACTTTTAAGGGGGAACATGGAAGCAGAAGAAGAAGAAACTAAACTCTTGGACTTGGGGAAAAAGAGACAGATTTAAATTTATTTTCTGATTTTGTTTTAAATGTGAATACCAAACTTATAAACTGACTGCTCTCTTTCATTTCTATAATTATTTAATGAATAACTGTGATCATGTTTTAAGCTTGTTACAACAGATTTTGATCATTTACTGGCTTAAAGATGGCAATTAGAGGGGCAGCTGGGGTTGAGGGGTTCAATTATGTGTCATTCAGGGCTCACAGTCTAGTCCTACATTCCACTGTATCCCAGGAAATACTTTCAATGTCATGAATGGAACCCTGTCCATCACCTTCAATCTCTCTCATCAATATTCATCTAAGGGTTGCTCTTGGCCATCCTTGATTCCACAATCTATTTGTTTTGCATTTTATTGCCTGTTAAGAGATTATCTGCTCACTTCTTCACATGTTGTGTCCAGTATACTGCCATTTGTTTCTTCTTATGACTGCTGAAACAAGTGGTTGTCTAGACATTTCTTTTATTCATTCGTCTTCTTCTCGTAGTTCAAGCCGTGTGGTACTGGTAGTCTTGTCTTTCCATAACCTTCTGTCTTATGTACTTTCAATTAACTCTCACACAGATGATCTTCCATGCCATGATCTCAAACTGTCTAACATCTTCACTGTCTCGATCTCCCTCAGCCTCTTTTTCCCCCTCTAACTTTCCTACCATCACGATATACTCCAGCTTTCTCCTTCTTACGATATGACCTAACAATGAAGATTGTCGCTTTCTGAAGCCTAATTATTCTCCTTTCTTGAATTCATCCAAGTGCTGGATCATTAATTTCCTTAGAAATTCTTTTGGGGGTTTATTGGCTTCAGGAAATATGCTAGAACATTATTTTGTGTGTGTTGAGTTCAGCTGAGTTGAATTGAGTCAAGAATTGACTTTACAGCAATTACATTCAATCCCATGCATACTCTGTCCTCATCTTCAGCAGCCAGCGCAGAGTTCCAACACTGATGGTCCCGGTCACAATCTGTGTGTATAACCTAACAAGACAAAGGACTGAAAATTATATATGATTCATGATACTAAGCAAACATTTTCAATTTCAGAGTGATTTGAAAGGGAATGAATATACATATCTATGCTCTGTCATTTTCTCAGAGAGTGTGAAGTGAATCAGCAAAACTTTCTTTCACTAACTCGGTGAGTCTGCGGAAGATGAATAAAACTTAGGTAAATGAGTAAAACTATCAAGCTCAGAGATTTTGAGGTGGTTGAGTAATCTATATGAAATCTGCCAGTCTCAGAAACAGCTGAAAAAGAATTAGCAGATCTAACTCAGGGAGTTTAAATTAGATGAGTAGAGCTACCTGAGCTATAATCAGTCTCAGAAAGAGCTGAAATAAAAATGATAACATATATTTGATCTCTATAATTTTCAGAGATCTAGCTGAGTTCTTTGAATCTCAAAGTTTGTTTAAGGTCCATGAGAAGACATTTAAGCTCTGTTAAAATAATAGAGTCAAATAGAGTTGAAAAAGTATGAGAAGATCAGAAACAGAGTCATACCTCATTTTCTAAAACATTATGCATGGCATTCTCTGCAAGGTTTTTAGACTCCTCAAACTTATCTTCTGCAGCTCGCAATTCTTCCTCTGTAACAGTGGTACCTGCAAGTATTCAACAGAAAGAACATTCAACTTTGGTCAGTGTTTATGCGGACGCACAATATATTTTTAGTAAAGTCAAGGACCCTTTTCAAAACCCTTAGGTATATTGAGTATATAGTGCTAGGCCAATATTTTCAGACCAGTAGGCACTCAGTGGGTGATGTTACCAACATTTACAATGTTCAAATAGATATAGAGAGCATTAAAGATTTGTATTCTGCAAACTACAGTTCTACTATAAGACACATATGTGTGTGGATTTACCCTTTCCCTCAATGAATGCTTAAATAAATGGGTAATGAACAAATGTAAATTTCTGGAAAAATCTGAAACTATTACCCAGGATATTAATATATTTGTAAACATTTATTTAAATATATTTGTGGAAAATAATGTTTATGAATATATAGTTACATAAAACTGAAGGACCCTTTTTCATGCGCTCAGGCATACCGGGCATATAGGGCTCAATATATATTTTATAGACCAATCGGCACTTGGTGAGTGATGTGATCAGCATCATGCTGGCCACTTTTACTTCCCGGGACTACACCTGGTACCCACTCAAGGCTGGGTTGACCTGGGAGCCAAGGTCATTTTCTAAGAAAGCCCGGTCCCATCAGGACCTGAACCCACGACCTTCAGATCTGCAGGCCAGCGTCTTGCAGCTACACAACGGTGACTCCCTTATATAAAGGGGTAATCAATAAACATGAACAGGGTGAGACAATAACAGAAACACATTCTCCAGGGCCTGAAAACACTAATATGTATCAGGTAATAAACAGCAATGGAGACAAACTGACAGAAATTAAAAGGAGGATGGCCATAGCAATGCAAATTTTAAACAGCCCAAAAAGTCTATGGTTAAGCGCCAGCAAGAAAATCAAAATTAGAATTCTGAGAGCATGCATCTTCCCTGTAGCAACATACGGATGTGAGTCGGGGACTATCTGCCAGTCCATAAGAAAGAGAATAGGGACATTTGAGCTGAAATTCTATAGAAAGATTCTCAAAATATCTTGGAGGAAAAAGAGGAGAAATACTGACATCTTGAAAGATCTCAACATCAAGGAAGATTGGCTAACAAACAGCATCCTGTCTCGGAAGCTGAAATATTTTGGTCATATCAAGCGCCACGACGGATTGGAAACAATTTTAGCAGAGGGCATGGTACCAGGGAGGAGGGGCAGGGGCCGATCAACATGAAGATGGGCAAAGGATATAAGTCTCCTTGAGTATGAAAGTGCATGAGGCAGGAGAGCCCGAGTTTCTTTCAGGCAGATCGTGATGAGAGCGACTTTCTGCAAAGGACTTGCTACATGATGATGACCTCTATCACTAAGGCTTATGGGAAAATCCAACAACCTGGCTTTCAAAAAGCTACTCCCCCCTTCCCCCCCAATGTTTTTTTTAAAAGTTTCTACATTCGTATCCTGACACATAAAACATGGCTCAGTCTCAAGTAAGACAAAAGAAATGTAACTACATTTTTTGGGAACAGGTCACTGCAGATATGGCCACAGTATCTGTATTTTAAGAACTGTCACAACAGAAGGTGACCAGATTTAATCTTCTTGGGGCAACAGGGTTTAACAGGATATAAGTGACTACTTGAGTATGAAAGTACACAAGGCGGGAGAGCTGGCGAGAGACTGAGTGTCTTTCAGGCAGACTGTGATAACAGTGACGTTCTGCAAAGGACCTGCTACTTGACATTGAGACCACATAACAAAGACTCCTATTTTTATAGACAAATCAGCTTTGTTGATTGACGTTGTTAACATTTCTCTGACCATCTCTCCTTCCTAAAACATGCCCTGATATCCATTTTAGACTTGGTCAAACTGGGAATAAAGGCATTTAAAAAAAAAATCTTTTCCCAGCACATTTAAAACAAAGACTTTCATGGTCCGTGGGCAACCGTCCAGCCACTAGGCTACTGGATAGGCATATGGAATAAAAAAGACAGAGAGATACAATTAAAAATTTACTTTTTACTGACTCAGCATATTCCTAAATTTTACAAAATGATTTTTAAAAAGTGGCAAGGAATAATTGCTTTATTAGGTCAACAAGAACAGGAAATTTCTTAGTATTCACCCATGCAAAATATTAAACATTATTTTAAAATATCAAAACTAAAAATTTTAAAAATTATAAAGTTTTCTATGCCTTTTTTTTCACTTTTCAAAATAGACATTTGAAATAACTGTTTTAGTACAGTGAAATATAAACATGCTTAAAACTGAAGCTACTGCATATAGTGGTGTTGATAAAACTCACTATAAATCAAAGACATGCACAATTAAAGTAGGTCACCCTGATATTGATGTCTTAATGAGTGCCTGCTTATTCCTAACATATGGACCTGGTACTATTTCTGCAAAATGTCACAAATTATGCACACAGGGGGAAATTAAAATTGTCAGGCTGATTTAGTAGAAGTAAACACAAAACTGAGATGACTGGGGTATTGTTAATTAGAATTTTCCAGCTGCAAAGCTCAGCACTTCTTCCAACAAATTTTTCTTCTCATTCTTCTGTGTTTACTGGCTGCATAGAGAGAGTCTGGGTTGTTCACCCATGTCAGGATTTTTATTTTGTTCCAGGACCTGAGTGTTGCCTCCACATTCATTTTACATATTTGGCTTATCTGTTTGCAGACGGTTGGTTCCTCACCTCTCAGATGGATGCACTCCAACTCTGAAGGATCTTGTCTATGTTGGCCAGGTCTGTAGTAGGAAATCTGTTTCTAGGGTGACTGCGGGGAAGTGCAGATAGAATTTGACCAATTTAAGCTATGGTCCTGGTCAGGAGTCATTCACATTTGTATGACTTCAAACAGGTTCACTTCTCTTGTTTGTTGTCTCCTATCACTGACCTGAAGATGATTCCTCACAGTACATCATGTATTGGCAAAGCCACTGTAGCACAATGGCAAGACACTTGTCTACCAGTGGTTGTGGGTTACATCAAGGTGGCATTTTCATAGTCTGAAATGGATTTCCTAGTCAACTCAGCTTATCCCTTTCTCTCCAAAAAGCCACAAGCAATGGCTCAGCCCCATAAATGCCACTTACCCTGAATTTCTACAGTAACCTGTCTCTGACAAGCCTTAATAATGCCAGAGGTTGTTTGCCACGGTGCAGCATTTAGGAGGCTGGGATACTAAAGATAGCCGGGTGTTTCCCTGGGAATAAAATGGCTATTTTAAAGCCATTTTGATATCATAATTTCCACATAGATTTTGTGTTAGAAATAAAACTAATTTAGGGATTATTTACACTTTCTTAAGGAATCAAATTAAAGTACCGTTTCTACAGTAGGAGCCCGCCAGGCATATGATACTAGACTCATACTTTACCAGACCAATCAGCACATGACTGATGATGTAGTCAACATCACACCAGCCATCTTTACTTTCCAGGACTCTACCTGATGCCCAGTCTAGGCTGTCTGCCTGGAAGCCAAGATCAATTTTGAAGAAAAAAATCATTTTTGAACCCAAAACCTTGGAGTCGGCAGGTGAGCACCTTGTCAATACACTACCTTAGCTCACAGTTAATTAACAGTTAACATTGCTCTGCTAACAAAATACCTACACCAAAAGCAAATATTGTGTTATTTACAAAATTAATGTTGATTACTAAAGCAAGCACATTCAAACAAACAAGATTAGGATTGAAACCAATTATATGGCTTTTTAAAGAGAAACATTTTATATGGTTTATTAAACAGAAACATTTTATACAGTTTATCAAAGAGCAGCAGATGAGATGGTCTGACCCTCTGGCAAGAATGCCCTGGTACTAATTACCACAGACAGCTTCTGTGAAGAAATACATAATGGGCCCAAGGCAAGGAAAATACCATGCATAAGATGGAATGATAGCATCAAGAACAGCCTTAAAGATATCATGACCAACTTATATAATGCACTGCAAAGAGCACATAGAAGATCTGTACATATCCCTCCAGCACTCACATGAAGTAAAGGGGGGAAGAATAACAACAATATTCAAAAATACATATATAAAACTAAAATCCCAGCTAAAAAACTTAAGTTTTTATCATCTGACTACAATGGGGATCAGATGAATTTCAGAACTTTCTGGGAACTGCTCAACTAGGAAAATTAGCAAAGAAGACAACCAGTCATCCTAATGACTAGGAAAACTGAGTGTCAAGGCTTTTCTATAAAAACTGGGTGTCAAGACTTTTTAGAAAAAATGGGCAGCAAAGTTTTGTCTTGGAAAACTGGGTGTCAGGACTTTTTTTTTTTTTTTTTTTTTTTTTTAGAAAAATTGGGTGTCAAGACTTTTCTAGGAAAACTGGGTGTCAAGACATTTCTAGAAAAACTGGGCAGCAAAGTTTTTGTCTTGGAAAACTGGATGTCAAGACTTTTCTAGAAAAATTGAGCGTCAAGACTTTTCTAGGAAAACTGGGTGTTACGACTTTTCTAGAAAAATGGGTGTCAAGACTTTTCTAGAAAAACTGGGTGTTAAGACTTTCCTAGAAAAATGGGTGTCAAGACTTTTCTAGAAAAACTGGGTGTCAAGACTTTTCTAGAAAAATGGGTGTCAAGACTTTTCTAGAAAAACTGGGTGTCAAGACTTTTCTAGAAAAATGGGTGTCAAGACTTTTCTAGAAAAACTGGGTGTCAAGACTTTTCTAGAAAAATTGAGCGTCAAGACTTATCTAGGAAAACTGGGTGTTAAGACTCTTCTATAAAAACTGGGTGTCAAGACTTTTCTAGGAAAACTGGGTGTTAAGACTTTCCTAGAAAAATGGGTGTTAAGACTTTTCTAGAAAAACTGGGTGTCAAGACTCTTCTATAAAAACTGGGTGTCAAGACTTTTCTAGGAAAATGGGTGTCAAGACTCTTCTATAAAAACTGGGTGTCAAGACTCTTCTATAAAAACTGGGTGTCAAGACTTTTCTAGGAAAACTGGGTGTCAAGACTTTTCTAGAAAAACTGGGTGTTAAGACTTTCCTAG